TAAATAGAGAATGAAAACATCTGCAAAAATAATTGATAAAAAAATAATTACTGCTTGATTAGGCGGAAATCCCATTAAACTAAAGGATGGTATTCCTATAAACAGATAAAACATAAAAAAAATTTTAAATAAATAAATATAGACATTTAAAATTTTCATGTGTGAATAATATTTATTAGTGAAATATTTACCACCAAAAGGATTTGTTACATTTCCTGATGATGTTATCCCGCCTAAACTTCCAAGATTATTGTTATTCCTTGGAGCCCATGGATTTGGTAATGGCGTGGTATTTATACGGCCCTCTATGAATAAATAAACCAGCATTTATACGAGATTAATGACAATAATAGCAGTAATAATGATAGCAATAATAACTTATATATATATATATATATACAAACCTGGTGGTTTTTCAACATTTAAAATTTGGGCAAGACGTTGATTAGCTGCCTCTGATAATTGTTCATTCTTTTTATTTAATTTAATTTGATTTTAATTTAATTTGATTTTAATTTATAACAACACAAATAAAAAAATAAAATAAAAAGCATACATTTCGACCAGCAGATTCAAGTGGTTCTTGTAGTGTGTGATACATTCTCCGTAGGTGATTAAAACCTCCAGGTATAGTTTCAAGGTTTGCTAAAGCTCGATCTAAAAAGTAATTAAAAATTTTTTAAAAAAAGAATAAATTTTGTAGGTGTGAAAAATTAAATGTGTTTTAAGTACCATTATTTCTCATCATTTCCCTCATTAATTCAGGATTTCTTGCCATATCCATTGTCTAAAAAAAACAATAAATTTAAGATAATAAATTAGCATATATTACATATTTTCTTGGTTGGTTAAAACAAATATATAGCAACAATTTGATGAATTTGAATAAAATATAACCTGACGAATAAAAGATGGATCATTCTTGAAAAAAAAAAAAGTCAAATTAAAATATTGAAAACATAATAACAATAGCATATTACAATGATGTGACCAATTTCAGGATTTCTTTCAATCATTTGTCTCATTGCTGGATTTTGCATGACCATAGATCTTACTATTTCAGGATTAGAAAGTAAATGCTTAAAAAGAGTTTAAAAAAAAAAGAAGATAATAATCAAATAAATAAACGAAAATTATAGAAAAGAATACAATTATAATTATATTATATTAATCATCATTATTAATAATAATAATAATAATGATATATATACTCTAATCATTGGAGAATTCATCATATTTCTCATTACATCTTGGTCAAAGCTTCCGCCCAGACCCAAAAGATTCAAAGTAAATGGATTTATTGATGGATTGTTATTGGGATTCCTAGAATTGTTGTTCGTTGAAGAATTTGCAGCTTGTTCAGCAGCACGATTAGCAGCACTTCGAACAACATGTATTGTATGTCCTTCTTTGACACCTATATATTTAAATTTTTTATATTTAAAAAAGAAAAGAAAGAGTTGTACACATGTATAAGATATTTTATCGATTATTTGTTATAAAAGAATTAAAAGAATTAATGTTTGTGATTCACCTACCGTAACTTTCTACCAAGTCTTCATCTTTTAATACTCTTCCTGAGTAAACTAATCTCATTTTATTAGCAGGTATAGTTGTTGGAATGGCAAGCCTTTCTTTGAATTGTAGTACGGTTAGTTGACTAAGATCAAAATTATAATCCATAATGTCACCTGTTGAAAAACGAAGTTTAACTGTAATATGCTTTTTTTCAATAATTGGCTCTTCCATTTTATTTTATTTTA